GTAAAGCGCTTTAGAAACAAATTAGAGAATCATGGTTAGAGGAATTCCGTGCAGACCAAGGAGGAAACCCGCGCGGACCTACAAAGACTGCGGCCAAGCCGGGACCAAACTTGCTGCGCGTAAATTCAAACAAAATCCGGCTGCAAAAAGTAAACTCAACAAAGAAAAAGCACAAGAGATCCGCGTCTTGGCTCTGAAAAATTCAAAAAAAAAAAAAAAAATTTAACCTCTCATGAATGAAAACTGAAGAAAAACTTGGAGTGATTTTCAAAAATTAGAGCAAGATTTCCAAGACTGCAGGGCTGGGATATAATTGAGAATCTAATTTCTTTTCCGCATATATCTTTCTTTTTTTTTTCCCTTTCTGCTTCTCAAAGAATTCTACGTATATAACAATTAATTTTTTTTCAATTCAGAGAGCTTGTCTGAGGGCAGACAAATAAGTTGGGGGAGGATGTGGTGAGATTGATCAAACCCATAGATCTAGTTAAAAACATTTTATTACACATAAATAGGGTTTAAGATGATAGAGAAGAAGGGGGAAAATATAGAATACAATGTATAATAATTACTGGGTTAAAACATAGCTAAGATAAAGCCCCAAATCAGGCCTAAAATACATAAATCTTTATGAATAATAATTATACAAATAGACTGTAGAAACACATAAAGAGATACTACATCCATCTTAGATTGGTAAATCAAGGTATTGATCAGAAAGTACTTCACAGACTAGCTTTAGAAAATAACTCTTATACTAATTAGTCTAAGAATACCATTCTCATAGCAATTAATCTAAGAATAGGCCTCATATAGTAGATTTACAACCTCTTGTATTAGAAAGGCACTTAGAGACTAATTCATATCAGATTAGGCCATCTCAGAGTAGTAAACACCACTCTAGAAGTACCCTTCTCAGACGAACTTGTGCTCAGGCCAGAATCCCAGGTACTGCAGAACAATTTGTCTATAAATAGAGGCTCTTCTGGTACATGTTTTCCTTTCTCCCTCCTCATGCTAGCACAGAACAGTAATCAGAGATATTACTCAGCTTTCATCACCCTTGATTAAGAGATCCAGAGATTATTAGAGCCCTTGAGCTTCCCTTACCTCAATTTTGGCCATAGAAAAGTAATTCAGAAATATTGCTTAGCCATTCTCACCTCTTTGAAAGATTTAGAGAAATCAGCGTACCTTTTATCAGAGCCCAGAGAAACCAGAGAGACTTATAAGATCAGAAGAACCAGAGAGAATTTATAACAGATTTAACAGAGAAACCCTACAGAAACCCTTATTACTCAGAAAACCCCATAATACTCCTTACCTCCTCAACAGGTATTCTTAAGCAACAACAACAGTAGCATCAACACTAAGATAAATTTAGAAATAAGCCACACTCTTATTTTTCTTGGTGTAACTTTCCCGCAAGCTAGACAGGAGGGCAGTCTCACCCACACACCAATACTAATTCTACTATTTCATAGTCTTATTAGCTATTTTATCCCCTCTAAGCTCTTTACTCACTTGCTGAGCAGTTCCACACCGCCCGAGGAACGGATTTTGTGAGAAAGTCGGCAAGCATCTCGTTGGTCGGAGTATATTTCAGAAAAATCTTTGCTTCGTTGATGACATCCCTAATGAAGTGTAGTTGGATTTCAACATGCTTCATTTGCTTCGCATTGGTGTTAGCTTCAAAATTTGCTACAGCGATGCAACCTTGGTTGTCCTTGTGGACAACTGTTGGGCCATTGGCAGAAGCCAAGTTGACCTCATCAAGAAGTTGTTGCAACCAGAGAAGTCCGTTAGGGCCTGGTATTCAGCTTTGCACAACAAAAGGGACACAACTGGCTGTTTTTTGGTTTGCCAGGAGATAAGGTGACCATTGAAAAGAGACAGGTAGCCCGTTACCAAATGTTGAGTAGCCGGGAAGTTGCCCCAGTCTGCATTGGTGAACCACATAAAGCTTCAGGACCCCCACGCTTATAGACCAACACATTGTCGGGAGTACCAGCGAGGTAGCGAAGCACATGGGTAAAGGATTCCCAGTGAGTAATTCCAGGCTCTTCCAAGAATTGGGATAGAGAGCTTACCACATAAGTGATGTCCAGTCGAGTAGCTGTAGACAGATAGCTTAAAGCCCCTACAGCGCTCCAATAATTCACCCCAAGAGCCTTGAAGCGATCTTGCTCCTCCACCGTTGCCTTATCCAAATGAATATTTGGAACAAGAGGAGTGGAGACCGGTTGACAGGAGGACACGCCGTATAATGCAAGTACAGAATGGACATAGTGTTGTTGAGAGAGAATTATGGCATCTGGCTCATGGAGAATTTTGATCCCAAGCATCAAGTTGGCCCGTCCCATGTCCTTCATATCAAACTCCAATTTGATTTGCGTCTTGAAAAATTCAACATCCTTGCCAAATACAGCCAAGTCGTCCACGGGTATGAAAATCCAAACAGGATTACCGGTCATTCGATCGAAGACACATAGATCAGAGACCAAGATGCTGAACCCAACCAACACAAGCCACTTGGATAGTAGGTTATACTACACGAGAGGAGCCTGTTTCAGGCCATATATCACCTTCTTTAATTTTAAGCACTGTTTTTTCTTGTCAAGATTTACCCCCTGAGGGACAGGCAGAAACTCATCTTCATCCAAGTCGGCGTTAAGAAAAGCTGTTTTGACATTGAGTTGATGAAATTTGAGACCATTTGCAGCAGTGTAAGAGATGAGGGTGCGAAGTGAATTGAGTTGACCCGTCAGAGCAAACTTCTTTGAGAAGTCAATCCCATGAACTTGGGAGAATCCAGCTTGGGCACACAGTCAAGCCTTGAAAACACCGCAGTCCAATCAGAGGATTCCCTTCCGTGGACAGCTTGATGATAATGTGCTGGGATATTATCCCCAGTGGAAGTGATGAACACACGAGGTTTACGTGTTTGACCAAAAGGAAGGATGTGAGATGAGGATACATCCCCAACAATTAGGGAGGAGGAAACAACCTGTCAGCCTCTATGCTACTAACCTGAGTGGGTTGTGCTATGAGTGTTAACAAGAAGTGTAATTGAGAAGGTTTATTTGTGGTTAAATACCTCAACCTGTAAAAGAAACAGGGAGGTGTCAGTGAGGAATGGTACTTCTACTGCTGACTCATCCAATTATTCAATTGGGCATCCAGATCAATCCTGTTATGTGGATTAATAGGCTTCCAATGTGAGGAATTCTTCTACTCACTTGGGATCAAGTCTTTTAACAACAATCCAGATGAATAAGTGTATGTACACTTAAGGACCAGAATTGTTTAACCAGGGGGATAATTCTTTATGCAATAGAGATAAGTAGAAATGCCTTGAATCTGAGCAAAGTAAATCTATTTAGGTCTAAGGTAGCTGGATTGTAATGTTATTGGTGGTTTGAATCACTAATAATCACGGTACAAGTGTTGGTTTGATGCTACTAGAATTTCCTGGGGGGAAAAGGTAGGAATCTGAGCTCCTTAAATATTCTACAGGGGGCTCAGGGGAAGGGGAGAGGCCCTCAGGGCATTAGGGAGCTTTTTAGCAGCTCTACAATTTTGTGTAAGGATGGGAGCTGCAGCTGTGCAGTGCTATGCATGGGTGGAAGGTCCTAGGACATGAGATCATACATGCATAATTGAGTTTTGTGGTCTATTTCTCACGTAATTGAAAGGCTACAGTTACTGTGCAATGGCTGTGCAATTGTAGAGTTGGTTGCATACGTGTAACTCTGCTTATGAAAGCTTGTGATCATGAGAAATGCATGCTCTTCATTCATAATTCAGTCTTGCATGTAGAATTTGGGCTCCTTTCCCGTGTAGGCTGCTTTGAATTATGCAAGCTTTGAATTAGAGCACAAAAGGGTCCTGATGACGCCATCCAAGAGGGTTATGATGCAATCTGATGCCCTGATGATGTGATCAAGGATGGGTAAGCTTCAGATAAATGTATATAGCTTATTCCTCATCCATTTCACGCTTCTACTAGCTGATTCTTTATACATATGTAATTATTTATGGCTTATAAAATATGTACATAATGTATAAGAATAAACATTGTTTAACACTTTATTCTAATGATATTTCTGTGAAATCCTAGTGATATTATATGTACAATACTCAAGGGGATTTCACAGTTAATTATAGAATTATTAAATATAAATTATGAATTAAGATTAAATGCAAATACATATTTATTTATTTATTATTTTAACAACAATGTATACTATTTTCCAGTATTCAATTAATTATTATTATTGCAGTTACTAGGTACATTTCACGTACTGTGAAATGTGCTCTGTGGCTGACACAACCAGATCAGGAACATGGATTCTGACACATCAGTAGATTCGGCGACCTCCGAGGTTGAGCAATCAGGTTGAGAAGGATCTGTGCCGTCATCATTGGTGGGCACGACAAACAGTCCAAGACAGCCTCAAAGGAGTTGTGAGCGTACTCGCCTCCAAGCAGGGTTTCACTCATTGAGAAAGGAATTGAGTCGTTCAATAGCTTCGGGAAAACGGTCTCGTCAAACCTAGTGTAAGGACTGAGAATGTCCTTCACTAGGTGGACAATAAAATGGCGTGGAGAGCAGGCAAGTGAGCCTAAAACTTTTCTAAGACCAAACACATGGAGCTTTTATTACTGGCTCAGAGAGATGGAAGGGCAGATCTCTCAGTACAATCTAGAAAAGGAGAAAAACAAGAAGAAAAGAGAAAATAGAACTCACCTGGCTGAGAGAGATGGAAGGGCAGATCTCTGCAGAGCCAGGAAGGGGAACTCGAAGATGAAGACTAAAAAGGGGGTGTGACATTTGAGTGAGAGGTTTGTGAACCAAGCCAGAGGTGGTGTTTACAGTCTCCCCTGCTATAAAAAATTGAAGAAAGAGAAAAGGAATAAAACAAAAAAATAATAAAAATTCATAAAAGAAGTGGGAAGAAAGAAAGGAAAAAAAATTGATAAAGAGGCGGAAATTTGAGTCAAGCACATCCCAGGTGACCGGCGATAGCATCCGCTAGGTCAGCTTGTTTGGCCTTCTCAATCTTGTTTGCGAGGAGTTGACTGTCGAGATCCGGCCGATTCAAGACCAGGGAAGCAGCCTTCATCATCAAAATAAGTGTCCCATCTTGTATTGCTGCTTCAAGCGTTAGCGCAGAGACCTGAGCCTCAAGGGATGTAGTGTCCGTAATACCCGCAACGCTTGCAGCGCAAGTTGAAGGACATCCCGCCGGAGCCTGCGTGGGCTTTCCTGGCATAGCAGTCGACCTACTCCAGGCTTGCGGGGCAACATAGTCGGCCAGTTTGATTTGGGTTGCAAATTTTGATGGGATGTTGATGCCAGATCGATCAATAGGTCCAGGACAGGAGCCAGCCGCGCTGCCACAATGTTTCTTACAGAAGTGGCACAAACCCAGTGAATCCAGATACGAGTGCACTTGCCAGACAAACTCGTTGCGGGCAAGGTTTGGTGGTGCACTCGGAGTTGATCTAGACAGAGCAGGTGGGTCAGCCGGTTGTTGTAACGCCATGAAGGAAGCATTGGCCTGTTTCTTGAACGGGGCCACCTCGAGGAGTTGGCGCTTGTTAATCCAATCTTGAAGAGAATCCGGCAATCCATAAACCACAAATTGGGCAAGTTGGAGATCCCCAAGCTTTGAAAATTTGCTGGCGTCAAAATTGAACAAACTCTGCAGCGTATGTGCCCGGGTTCTATACTCAAGGAATGTTTCCGCCGGCGACATATTGAGCTGGCAAATCTGTTGTTGCAGCCCGGATCACCAATTTGTGGGGAGTGCAAAGTTGAACAATTGTGTTTTGAATTCCTCCCAAGACTTGGTGAGAAAGTCAGCCACCTTGTTGGCATAGAAAAATTGCAGGTTTGTTTTGGCAATGAGATTACCAAGGATTTTGATCTTGTCCGCTGCATTGGTCACGTCCTTTGTCTCAAAAAAGATCTGGACCCCATGGATCCAGCGTAGAAAAGACTCAGTCTCCTGAAATTGTCCGCTATACGTTGGCCCGTCCGAAGTGCGGAACTTCTGGGGGTCAATCTTGCCTGGTGTTTTCTGTACTGGTCAAGCTTCAACTTCTTCTTGATGTTCATTGCTAGAAGGAGCTCTTCTAAGCAGCTGATGCGGGCGGCGCTGGCTTGATGAGCAGAAATAAGGATCTGTCGGTGTGGTAAGACCAATCAAAACCTGTTACACCTTTCTACCACCTTTCTGGACCATCTTCACACCTTCTACATATCATAACACCCCTCAAATCAACATTCTACATATTTAATCCACTCATGGCCACCTCCAATCATCCCATAGACAATTCCATCAGCTCCAACAGACTCAACAAACCACCAGTAACACTTCACATGGATCACCAGCCACACCTGGTAATAAAATAAGTACAAATTAGGTATAAAGTGGGAGAAAGTCCACCATCCAAGAGGGCCAGAATATTAGGAAAGACCCTTATCCTTCACCATCTTTTTTTCCCTCCTTTACATACCATGGCAATTCACTACAGTAGCCACTTATGTCATGTTTCTATCCCTGTTGCTTCAGCCTTGTTTCACCCTTGCCACACATGCCATTCCCAAGCCTGTCTCCCAAGCCATGTTGTTGCCTTGTTACATGTACCCTGTGATGATGCCTTGCTCCTTGTTTTCTTATTCCCCCCCCCCCCAGAAGACTTATATGTAGTGCTCTCTTGGCCCTTGCCATTTGTCCCCCATCAGAGTTGTCATTATTGCTCCCTGGTCATTGATTTAGTATTACTTACTTGGAAATATATTTAGCATTACAGAATTAAGACATTTCACACAGAATTATTATCCTCATACCTTACCCTTTACAAATCTTACATCTTCATTTAGCCACACCTTTCTTTAAGAGTCCATACTCTTATTTCTTGTTCTTCTTACTCTCCCAGTAACCAGAGAGGCACCCCTTCAAGCTCTCATCCCTCTCTAAGCTCTATTCCCACCAAAGAGTAGTTCCACAAGTGGTGTCCCAACAGTGGCCTCTTGCAGATCTTTAGGTTATTTAGTCTTACTGTTATTAGCCTACATAAACAGAACCATTAGTTTTATTAGTCTAGATTTCACATAAGTCCTAGTTTTGGAAACTTACTTAACTACTCTCATTACTCTTCCTCAGATTAGCTAGACTATATTAAAGTAAAAATAATTTTAATTAGAACATTTTTCATATCTCAATACCCATAAGCCTCCTAGCAAATTTCCTAGATAATCCTTCAGGATGAACCTTTAATAGATATATTACTAGCATTCCCAAGAAAATATCCTAGAAACATCCACAACTCAGCTACCCTCCTACCACCATGAATATTATACCAAGAAGAAATTCCTTTTCTGGACCATTCCCAGGACAACAGATCATGAAGGCAAAATTCTCAATCAACATTTCTACTATGGTCATCCCCCCTTTCAAAGGACGTGCAGGCCAGATAAATCATGGATCAGCCCCTACTCTCCCTGGAAAATATAATGGAACCTACAAACCTAGAAAACCTTCACCTTCCCTCTGTGGAAAATCTGGATTCAAACCTACTTTTGGCCCTGGAACCAGAAGAATTATCAGCCCCCCTTCCTCAGAAAATGACACCTTGGAACCCCTGGAAAATCAGCTTTCACCTTCACCAACTTATATTTCCATCAGCTATGCAACACCTGAAAAATGTCAAACTACTGGAAGCTCACCCTTTGGTCTCTGTCTGACTGGCCTGGAAAGAAAACAGGAAGAAATAAACTTTCTCTACATACCCAAGGATGGATTGGCCTTTACCAGGGAGGAATGTGCTAGGAAGGATCTGGACAACTTATTTCACTACTTCATCAACCTGGGAGGAATCAGCACTTCAGATCAACTTCATCAATTCAGGATCCAGTTTGAAACTATGACTTACTATTTGTTCAGCAATGGGTACATCAACCATCCAGAGGAATTCACCTGGTCTTTTTGGAACTGTCTCAGCCCAAGAGTCAAAAGAAAGATCATTGATCCCCTCATCTGGTATGGTCACATAGTCTTGTCTAGAAATTATTCAAGTGCAAAACTTCCATCATATGAAACCATCCTTCAGTACATCTTTGGAGAATCACAAACTATAATTGAAGAAGTAAATTCAGAAACCAACTTACTATGTGTTACACAAGAAGAAACCCCCCCTCCAATATTCACCTCCCTCTCTGCAAAATCCTCCTCTCATTCCCTTGGAAAAACTGAAGGCTCTGCAAAAAAAATGGACAACAAAAATGAATAAGAACTAGGACTAGTCAGTATATCCAATGAAGAAACCTATTCTCCAGAACACAGACAACCAGCTTTGATGATTCACAAACCCCCAGATTTACTTGATTCTGATCTATCACAACCTCTGAAGACCCTTGAAGAAAGCAAAACCTCTGAAAATTCTAGACTGGATTTCTCCACAGAAATTTCATCAGCCTTGGAACTATCAGACACTCTCACAACCAGCTACACATCCAATCAAAAAGAAATTTCAGAAAAACTCAACCTTGAATTTTTCCAGCCTCAATTTCCAGAAAACTTCTATCAAGGATCATCTTCTTACTTAGACATCCACTGTTTACCACCACTCTCCATCTTCAACAAATCAGAAAAATTGCCCTTTACTCCAGTTTTGAATTCTTATAACCATCAGTGCAAAACTTTCATTCCTTCTAAACCAGCCTTAGCTACATTGGAAACGTTTTTCTTCCAGAAGGATCCTG